GGAGGGATGGCGCAGGAGAGGAAGACCTTCGATGAGATGGATCGATTCTGTGACTGGAGTGGTGGGAATGAGTGTGTCTGAGATGGCGAGGTTGGCACAGGATAGAACGGAGTTTACAGCTCTTGTACATAGGGTTGCTATGAGTCGCAAGCGACTCGATGGCGCATAACAACAACAACAACAACATGAAGAAACTTCCTCACACAAAGAACTAGGGAACTTGGCCTGGGCATGTTCTTAACACTTTGCAGAAAATAGCCAGGGGTGTATTACTTGATTTAAGTTGAAGGTCAGAGTTCTGATATTGTCTTGAAACGACTCTGTGGCTTTGATTCGGGGTTGCTTTATAATGAGTCATACCTAATTGAGTTATAAAAACCAAGAAGCAATCCTTTTTAGGATTATAAGTAATAACCTTTTTAACTTGCAATTACATATGTGTCCCAAACCCAACACTCTAGTGCCCCCTGCAGTGATGGATTGACCTGTCATCAGTCTTGATCTTCTGATGACACTCTTCAGCTTCTAGCACATTTAATTAATCCTATGACTGTGATTCATTGGATTCTATTTGCCTTACTACTGGGATAGATGCTGGTGGTTTCTCACTTCTGGGTGATTGCCTTTATGCTGTTTAAAGCTTAATAAAGGAATAGCAGGAGCCCTGGAGGTGCAGTAAGCTAAATGTTTGGTTACTGGCTGAAAGATTGGCAGTTGGAATTTACCAGCTGCCACTCCCTGGGGGGATAGATAAGACAGTCTGCGCCCTTGAAGATCAGTAGCCTCTGAAACCCTATGAGCCAGTTCTACTCTGCTTATAGGGTCTATAGTCTTTCTATGTTTCAGAAATAACTTGATGACAATGGGTTCCATAACATGTGTGATTCTGGGATCTTCTCCTAACACAGAGACAAGTGTGTCTGCTCCATTTCCTTTGGCAATCAGAAGGATGCGTTTTATTTGTTTTGGCTGCAATATGCAGGTGAGAGCCAAAGAAACATTAAGTGTTAGGGGAAAAGAAACAAAAGAACTTTTCATTTTGTTCTCTTCTACTCTTTATTTTTTTTTAGTAACAAATATGTTTTATTTAAGATGAGCGCTTTGGTGGAAGCAGGCTGAGGCTTGATTGACATCAGCCTCTTTTCAAAAAGAAAGGTCTTGAATTTCTAAAACCATTTCTTTATTTTAATCCACGTGTCTGCCTGCACACTAGTCTGAATTCGATGTGTTTGGAGATTATCACAAAAAATCCAAAGGGCCTGGACGTAGAAAGGGATGAAACTGTGAAGGAATTCAACAATTTCTTGCATTAGACTGAGAATTTGTAACTTTTGGTTTTGGGTAACAGTTGTCAGAATTTTATCTACCATGATGAGAACTAGTTTGTCTAATACATAAAGAAGTGTGAAATGTGAAGGCTGAGGAGTTACTGAGAGCTGGGAGATGATAGGGTCCCTGTTTACAAAGTTGAGAGGAAGTAAGCTCAGGACAGAGACCAGAGAAGCAAGGTCATCCTCTGAGGCTCACCCCCAGGGTGGCCTCCAGCTCTTTCACTTGCTTCCAAGCAGTACTCCTCCCGAATCCACAGGGAATTCAAGTTCAAATATCTTGAACAGTCTACATAGATGATTTTCAAGGCCTCATAGAGTTAGAAAGACATCTAAGACATAGGCTCTTTTTTCCAAAGGACATATAGGTAGTGCAGACCCTTCCAATCCTGTGGATTCCTTCCTCATTCTGTGGGTACCTTTTGTATCCAAACAAGAGACCTCAACTGCTCTGCTGGGAGAGACAAAGCAAAAACAGAATGGAAGGAAAGGAGAGAGGCTCTCAAAGAGGCAGCCTGAACCATTTTCAGGAAGGAGAACTCATCAGATTTCTGAGGCAGTGCCAGGTGTACCCAGGTGACTTACTTAGGACTGGGTAGTTGCATGGCATGCTCCATGAAGCTGGCAGCTTGTGATAGCTTTGCCAGTGGAATGACATCTGGATCAGCAGACAGGGTGTCATCTGGGCAGCCAGCCAAACACAAAGCCCACAAAGACTCAGAGTCTCAGCCTGCCTGGATTGTGAGTGACACTCTCAGCTCTGCAGGGACCAGAAAGAGCCAAGGGTAGAAGATGATGCCACGGAGAAACTTCCCCAAAGCCCTCTTCCTTGGAATAACTCTGATCACTGCCTTCAATATCCTTCTGATATTGTACAGGGGAACTGTACAAAGCCTGATTCTGGGGAAGCTGCACAAGGACCTTCCTTTCCCTTTGGCCGAGTGGAAAGGGGTGATAAAGAAACTCTCTCACTTGGAGATGGATTTTCAGGATCTGAGTAAGTTGATCACACTAACTTGGAAGGGATGGTGTGTGTGTGTGTGTGTGTGTGTGTGTGTGTGTGAGAGAGACAGAGAGAGAGAGAGGACACACAGAGAAAGTAGGAACAGAGCTGGAAAGAACAATGATCAAGGGGCTATATTCTCATCTTGCAAGGTAAGCATCTGACACTGAGTCTTGTGCCTCCAAAGGGGAGATAATTGGGGAGATTTAAAACCAAAACTAAACCAAAATGAAAAAGCCAACCCTCCCCTTACCACTGAGTCCTTTTCAATTTATAGCAAACCTATACAGACAGAGTAGATGGCGCCATTTGGTTTCCCAGACTTCCCATACTGAAAGGAGCAGACTGTTCTATTTCCCTTTTGTAAAACGACTGGGGGACTCAAACCACGAATATTACGGTTAGTTTTTCAACCAGAGTATTTTAAGTACTGTACAACCAGGACTTCTGTATGGAGATTAGGGGACTTGAAAGGGGGATTAGAACAGGCAGTTTGGAGGAGAGCAGGGTATGTTTGTATGAGTCGTGTGTTTGTGCACATATGTGGTGATCACATCCACATACTGAGAAACTAACACCAGGCATTAAGAATCGGAGAAGTGCAAAAATATCTAAATAAATGCTTTTGTGAGGGACTCGTATGGAGAAAGAGGTAATCTCAGGAGCAGAGATCTCACATCCGTTCTGCTGTGGACTGTTAGCCTGAAAGAATGGGGAGCTTTGCTACAAGACTTCAGGTCAAATCCTGATAAGGCCAGCATGGTTGTGAGCCTTTGATTCCTGATCAATAAAGGGAGATGAAGACATGATGACAATATGAACCCAACATCTCAGAGCTGTGATGACCCAGAGCAGTAATTAACAAATTAACATGAGCAGAAAGGGATCTATAAACCAATGTCTTCCAAATTGTAACTGTTCAATTAAAATTCTGGGTTAAGGTTCACTGAGCTCTGGCTTACCAAGAAGCTCCAATTCCCTCCAGCGCCAAGCTTCTCTATGTCTGACTGACTGAAGGGAAGTGACAATTTGCCCTTGCTACCCCTCTCCCCCTCTAAGTGACAGGATGAGATGTTTGGACTTCTGAAGTGAGGTGTTGAGGATGCGAGCCTGCACGTGATTACAGGAGTGTGTGTGTGTGTGTGTGTGTGTGTGTGTGTGTGGTTGCATATGCATGCACATGCATGAGACTAGATTTGGGGAGAGTGTCTTGTAAAATGGGACCCAGAATTATCAAATGCCAGGCTTCAGAATGAATAGTAGGGAAGACAGGCAGAGAGAGAAAGAGGAAGGAGTGAAGAAGCAGAAAGATGGAGATAGGAACAATCTGAGTCCATGGAGAGGGAAGGAAAAGAGTTCATGGGTAAAAATAGATATAGATTTAAAAATTCTGATACATTCACATAATGGAATAATGCAGCACTAAAGGGCAATGATTTTTGTAAACTGCTATACAACATGAGAGAGTCTGGAGAGCATTCTATTGAGTGAACTCAATCTCATAAAAGACAAGTACTATATAAGACAATTATTGTAAAAATAGAAGGATAACTTGTCAGATGTGGATAAAAGTCCAAAAGGGGGCGGGAGCTCTGGTGGCCTAGTGGCAAGAAGCCACAGTGCAATCCCAGAGGCGCAGTTCGAATCTACCAGATGCTCTGCTAGAGAAGGAGGGGACTGTACCAGTCAGATCTGATTTGACAGTACACAAACATTTTTTTTAAAGTCCAAAAGGGAAAGGGAGGAGAGAAAATAGTCACAGGGTGAGGAGCAGAGAGGAAATCACTTAGAAATACAGAGTTCGGTGAGTGAAGGAATTAGGAAAGATCAAAAGGCATTGAGAAAGGACAGAATAGTCATAGATCAGTGGCGATTCGTTTTATAAAACACATTGCATAATTTGTGATAATTTGAAACACAGTGTGAATGTAGGATTGGATGCAATGCAGTGTACATGAATGATACCCAAATTTTGTATGCAAGCTGATATAAAATAAAGTGGAAAAATTTAGTGTTATATCCACCAGAGCATGTCTCTGGAAACCCTTTGAACTCTGTGAAATTATAATAGTTATAAAAAGGCTTCAGGTCTTTTGTTCATAAGGTCGCTATGAGTCGTACTTGACTCAATGGCACCTAACAACAACAAATATATAATGTTGATGTTACATGCCATTAAGTCAGAACCTACTTGTAGCTAACCCTTCAGTTGGTTTTCAGAGACTATAAATCACCCTGGAGGAGATTGTCCAGCTTTCTTCTTTGGAGCAGCTAATGTACTCAAACTAGGTAGCTTTAGGCTGGCAGTGCAATTCCTTACCATTAATCCACCAGTGCTTCCTATAAATAATTGTTATTGTTGTTGTTATGTGCCATCGAGTCACTTGCGACTCATAGCGACCCTATGTACAACAGCCCTAAACTCTGCTCTGTCCTGTGCCAATCACACCATCTCTGACACTCCCATTCCGATTATCCCAGTCACTGAATCAATCCACCTCATAGAGGGCCTTCCCCTCCTG